CTGCGCGGCGCAGCGCGGCGGCCTCCCACGCCGCCAGCGCGTGCGCGTGCGCGTCACGCCAATTCCGCACCGCGGCTGCGTGCGCCGCGCGCGCCGCGGCCACCCTCTCCTCGTTGACGGCCCTCACCCTCTCCAGCTCAGCGTTATATTGCCGCATCGCCCGCCTGAGCGCGGCCGCGTCGGCGCGCCGCGCGGCCTCGCACGCGCCCTCGTGCTCTGCCCGGAGGTGCGCCAGCAGCCGCGAGTGCGCGTCGGCGGCCGCGGCGCCGCGCTCGGGGGCGTGGGCGGCGCGGACGGCGGAGATGAGGTCTCCGATGGGGCGGCGGCGGGCTGACCTGCTTGATGGGATCGTAAGGGGGGGGGCGATGATGATGGGAGGAGTGGGAGGTGGGGCACCACGACCGCTGTGATAGGAAGCACCGGCGGGGACAGCATGCACATTCGACCAGTGGGGGTCTACTCATACAAAACTCAACAAAGCGTGATGTGAGGGCTGCCCTGCTGCCGAAAAGTCCACCAGGGTCCCATAGTCCAGAAGATCTTGGCCGGACTGCCACTGTCTAGAGCCCAACTCCGAGTCCAGGCGGAGCGACAACACAACGCGCCGAACAGCGACGCATGCAACGCGTCCCCACCCAACCTCCCCGGCATCATATGGCAGCAGCCCCCTCCAGCGGAACCCCTCTGTCACGCCCGCCCAAGACGAAGCGGCGCGCGGCCGCTGGCACGTGCACGCTCCTGTGCACAAGATGCGTCGATGCATGCGCACGCATGCCCTCGCAGCGCACCTGGCATCCTCCCGACGCAGCTGCCGTAGCTTTTCATCCGCCCAGCGCCGCTCCTCGCGCGCCCGGGGCGTCTCGCTGGCCAGGTCGTACGGCAATGCCTGGCCCGTGGCCGCGTCGAACGCACGTGCCGTGGCGGCGGAGGCGCCGTGTGCGCCGCTTTCAAAGTCGCACACCTGCGTCGGGCGGCGACAAGGGATGCAGTTCTGTGTGTTTTGGTGTTCCTGTGATTTGGTCGGTTGGTTGGGTTGTTGGTGGCTTGAGGCAATTGGGGTGTGGAGGCGGCAGGAATTTGATGCGGTGGATACATAAAAACAGGACGACCAGACGGTCCAGATGTGCGATGCAGCGGCCGCGGCAGCGGCAGCGGCAGCGGCAGCGGCAGCGGCAGCGGCAGCGGCAGCGGCAGCGGCAGCGGCAGCGGCAGCGGCAGCGGCAGCGGCAGCGGCAGCAGCAACAGCAGCACGAGCAGGTGCAGGCAGCAACAAGTACTGAACACTGGTACCAACGCTTGCGGTGCGTCCGACCAGCAGCAGGTGCACCAACATACCGGAGACAAGCCGGACAAAACTCCAACCTACCAGACTGGCGCCAACTTTGTGTTACTTGAGCATCATCGACCCACACAAAAGGGCAGTTGGCAGCATCCACCCCACCCCACCCCAAAAGGAAACACCGCCACACCTGAAACGAGCCGCCCGTCGCCGCCGCCAGCTGCCGCAAGAACCGCTCGCCGGCGCCGTCAGGGGGAGCGCCCGCTGGGAAGAAGCCTGGGGGGCGGGGAAGGACAAGTGGGTTCAGGGTGTGGGGTCTAGGGCACAGGGTTCAGGGTTCTCTAGATATGTACGAAAGTCGGTCGTGGTGGCATCAGGAGACGCTTAGGGCTGCGCTGAGCCGCCTTCCAGGGATGGGCGCATGCGTGGCGGCATTTGTCTGCATGCGGTCCAATTTGCTGTGGTGCCGAACCTCGTACAGTTTGTGCTGTACGAGGTTTGACGACGACCTTGGAAGCGTACCCAGCCACGACAAGGGCTGGTGGGCAAGGACCGGTGGGCAATGACAACAGGATTTATTGATTATTGAAGGAGCCGATAACAGAAAATATCATTCCAGCCACGCAATTCACGTCCAGCGCAGGACACACCTGCCCCCTGGAGCAAAGCGCTTACCGACTGTGTGAATTGGTGGCGGCCCCCGCCCCTCCGCCCTCTCGGACTGCACCCACTGCAGGCAGTCCGCCGCGTCGTCCGCCAGTCCGTCGCTAAAGAGGTACCAGCAGTCCGGAGCAGCGCCGCCGCCGAGCCCTCCGGCCCCGCCGCACGCGCCCGCCGCCCGGCGATTGCCGGCACCGCCGCCGCCGCCGCCGCAGCTGTCGTCGCGGCCGCCGCACCGCTGGGCCGCCCGAAGCGCTGCCAGCAGCCGCGTGCTGCCGACCGCCGCCGGCCACGCGTCCACCCAGCCCCGCGCGTCTGCAAGGCACCCGGGCTCGCATGGCTGCAGGCGCGCGCCGCTGCGCGTCGCGGCACCACTCCCGCAGGCGACTGCTGGCGGCGCCGTGCCCGGGGACGACCGCTCGCCGGCGCCGCCGCCGCCGCGGACGTCGCCGGAGCCGGAGCCCGCCGGCCCGCAGTGGACAGGGATAGACGCTGCTGTGGCGTGCTGCTGCCGCGGCCCCCCTTTCGGAGCAGGTCCCTCTTTAGCAGTCTGGGCAAACCCCTTGCCGCGATCCCGATGAGCGGCGGATGCCTCTGCAACTTCTTCAGTCGCCACCGCTGGCGGCGAGCTCGGGGAGCCTGGCTGTGCCGCCGCGTGCTGCTGCTGCTGCTGCTGCTGCTGCTGCTGCTGCTGCTGCTGCTGCTGCTGCTGCTGCTGCTGCTGCTGCTGTTCATACAGCCGCCGCCGCCCCTGCAGCCGAGCCATCTGCTCGCCCCCGTTCAGCGCGCCCGCCGGCCGCCGCTGCCCGGCGCTCGGCGG